CACACACACACACACACACACACACACACACACACACACACACACACAACCCATTGTGATTAATGGGTTTTTGACTAAACCAACGAGAAGACTCAGCCCTCTTTGGAGCTCCATAACTAAAACACAACATTCCAGTAAAACATCATTCATTGTTTAAACTTGACCCAGCAAGTTGGACATTTTACAGCTGAACTGCATCGTTTTTACACAGTCACAGATTAAGTTTCATAAATTTTACAGAATTTGCCACAGAATGTAAAACAGATCATAATTTACGCACCAATTTTGGAGTTGCCAATTTTTTTTTTTTTTTTACTTTTGCAAACAAATTCTTCTTACCCCCAAAATGTTTTTGGTGKATATAGTAGCTCATATACATCAAATTATATGGATGTTTACCTTCTTTTACTCAGGGGGTTTCTCACAGCTTATTGTTTTGTCTATTTAACTTGTCAAATCTCCAACATAACACAGTATAGAAACATGAAAATCTCTTGTTTGACCATCACGGGACTATTTGCCCCTTATGCTGCTGCTCACAAGGTCAAGACTTTGTAAGATTTGGGATGGAGTTTTTGCACAGCAGTCTATTTTTTATCTGTTTGCCTCTCCTTAGAGTGTCAGTGAGTGACAGACACAGTGAGTGTGTGGTTTCAATAATGATCTTGATGAGCCACTGGCAAGGTTTTAATTTTTTTTACACAATTAGTACAATTTTTACATAAAGATGTAAACAATTTTCTCAGTTTAGATTGTTACAAAACTGATGTTAGTATTTCAGGCTGTTGTTCCTGTTCAAAATATTATCACAGATTTATTTATTTTTTTATAATGTTCTGGTGTCTTTGCAAAAAGAAGACAGACCATGTCCTTTTTTGTCTTTATTTTATTTAACTTGTCTATTTTATTGTATTGTCTATTCTCCTGAAGTTATTTTATCGTGTCTAAAAAAAACAAGCACCTTGGAGCAGCAAATCCAATTTCATTGTAATGCAAATTATAATGAAAATAAAGGTCATTCTGATTCTGATAAACTGCACTGAGTGCCTATATTTAAGTCATACATGTTCCAGCTGCACAAATTTGCAAGATGAGAGTATACATTTATTTCTCATCACCAAAAATATCCTACCCAGCATTATAATATACACCATGCCTGCCTCATCAATGTACACGCAACTAATATTTAGTGTGATGTAATATTGCCATCTGGTGGTAAATACTTTTCATCATCAGTAGTGTGCAGCATAGTTTCTGTAGATCAGAGCAACCAGGTTAGGGTTATTAGTGGCAGCCATGATGGCTCCACATCTATCAGCGCAGATTAGTGCTGGGTGCAACACAGGAAAGGTTAATGTGAAAACTATACAAAAACGTTTAACACACAGTTTGCGTGTTATTACGTACAACAGAAATTACATTGACAGGCTTTGAATTTCAATGTGTTTATACAAAACAGGCTGAAAATAATCATTTCATTTGGTATAAAAGAAAAAAATAAACTGTGGAAGGTTTCAAAACGTATGAGTATTTCAATCATTATAATTAATAAAAACAAATATAATGTTAGTTTACAC